CCCTGCCTGAGGAAGTGGATCCTGCATCGGCTCTCTGATGGACTCTGGTTGTTTGCCTCCTGCCGACTTTTGTCCAGCACTTCTGCCAGCTTCCTGAGCACTTGGTCGTGCCGCCATCTGAGCCGACCCTGTGTCAGTGCTGTTTTGCAGCCCGACAGAACATGCTGGAGTGAGGCATTGATGGTCCCGCAGAGGTCACAGGATTGCTCTGTTCCAAGCCATTGGTGGAGGTTTTTGGGGCTCGGAACTATGACGGGGGCAGTCAGGCCAGGCGGTGGACAACTTGGGGGAGGTTTCTCGCGCTGGCTTCTACTTTTCGGTGCCTTTGGTCGCCGCTAATCCAAATGTCCGAACTTCCTGTTTGGCTTTGACGTGTATGGGTGCCGAGAGGCTTTTCTGCTCTTTTTATCACGATCATGCCTACCGATTTGTTACGTGTGACCAATAACGCGTCTTGAGGCTGTTCGGGGTCGGCTTAGCATTTGGCCCGCCCTCACAGGAACATTGAATACCGGTTGATTTTCGCTACGTTTGAATTTTGTGCAATTTTCCCTGACTTCGAGCATGTTCGACCTCAAATATCAAGTCGAAGGGCAGAAATAAATAAATAATACCTTGCATTACAAATAGGGCCTTGCACTGTCATGCTCGTCCCTAATTAAGTCCTGAAAAAGCTAACACAGAGAGACTTTTAAAACAATTTTCTCTCTGGTCTCCAAGCACATGCACACCGATGGGAGGTTGATCACTTTAGAGACAGACGTCGGTTTTGTGTTGCAGGGAAGGAGGATCTCAGGTTGGGCCCTTTACCTATGATGCTACCCATCAGAACCCTTACAGTAGTTTGTTACCTGTATGAGGCTGCAGTGAGAGCATTGTGTTCACAGTTTGACTACAATGTGGCACACAAACAAGTAAGCCTACTGAAAAACTGTGTTTACGAGCTGAGGTGCCAACATACAGACAGTACAGTTAAGCTGTTTAATGTGCTTAGACTTCATGAGCGTATATTAGCTAGCCTGATGATGTTTAGCAGCACTTTCTCAGTGGATTTTATTTTCGGCGCTTGTCTACAAGTCATCTGCAGGACGACGTGGTTTAAGTAGAGAAGAAAAGCAGTCCACGAGCAGAACGCAAATGTAGCTTGTTTGTTAAGGTCTGTGGCTGCTTGTGGTCTCCTCTTCCTGCTTGATAAACAGTGATGTACTGCTTACACAGTTATAGTTTTCTCCATTCCACTATGCACACAGGAGAACAAAACAGCATTCTGACTGCTAAATCAAAGACAGGGGGCGCTACTCATTAAAAACCAAAGCATTGTGTCAATATGTTTTCTTCAAAGGAGAACAAAGAAACAAGAATTGTATTGCTGGAGCAGAAAACATGGCAAGCTACATAAATGTATAAAGTGTTAAATGGCCGTACTGTATTGGACAATAACTAAGTGTTGGCAACAGACTGGACGACGGACATCTGTGGCAGAGCAAGAAACAGCATCTGAACAGGTCCTTCCAGAATCATGGACAATCCACTGCATCTACGCAACTAGCACCTCTACAGGCAGAGGACAGCTTCAGGAAGGCTGCTGCACTGTCCTCGTTCCACTGAAAGACTGAGGAGATCTTCCTCCCCCACGCATGAGCTCTTCAACCTCCACCCATGGGGGAGAAAAACTCTAAACCAATATGTCTGCCCTTTAGGTTATACTATACCACCTACGCAGACTGAACACAGTGCACCCTGCGTTATGTGACCATTGACACTTGACGACTGACACGTACTTATGCACCTAGGACCTTTCAAGCATGGTTTGACCCTTGTCACCTAGACACTAGCCCATGCTCGTTATTTGGCTATTTATTCTACTTTATTCATTTCTTAAATTGACCCCTCTGTTTATTATTATTATTATTCATTAATTTATATATTTTTTATTATATATTATTAATTATTTCATCAGTTTGTGGATGACTGGCTGGAACAGTTGGAATCCTGGAAAGAACAAATATCTATCTTATCTATCTATCTATCTTATCTATCTATCTATCTATTATCACTATCTATCTATCTTATCATCATCTATCTAATGTATGAAACACGATCAGCAGCAGGTATACAGGTTTACTTTTGTCTTGTTTCTGGGTCTTTTCTCCAGACTGGGACAGGGAGCGTCTCCTGATGAAGCCAGATGGTACCAGTATAGGTTCGGTGAAGCACGTCTGCAAAGAACCTGAGTCCAGAGCTTTTGAAGGTAGGACTGGATCCTTCAGACTCTGACACCAACACAAGCAAACTCCCTCATTGCCTTATCCTCGTGGAACAATGTCTATAAGACTCAATGGATGATTGTTGACTGTAGTGAAACCAAATCAACATGTGCCCAACGGCTCTGTGTAGAACGCTCAGATGGTCACAGAAACATAAAAGCTCGTACTTCTGTTTTCGAAAGTTAGCATTCAGTCTGAAATTCTGGAAGAACAATTGTTCCGTTGTACAGTTTCAACTTCCTGCTTTCAGCTTGTGTAACTCAGGAGTTGCAATTGATACTAATTAAGGCTGTTCCATTTTAGTGGCAGCAGAGCCTTGCCACATAGACAGCAGTGCACAATAGCAGCCCCTGACTCTGGCTCAGTGGCAACAGAAGGATATCATGCGTATATCACCACCTGTCGTACCCTACCATTTTCATGTCAAATGGCTGCTGTGAAAAAAGAACAATTTAAAAGCCCATCTGTCCTCTCCTGCGTGCCCAAAGTATATCGTTAAATGACGCTTTCTCTGTGTTTTTCCTGTGGAGCTGCTGTGTGAGAAACCATTTCAGACTCATCCAACAAAATTAACAGCTAATCCTTCACCATCCATTCAGTCATCATCTCATTCATTTATCAATCACATGACCTTAGATGAAAACATGATTTGATGCCCAAATACACTTAAAGAAGCTCATGAGCCAACCCAAACTGCTGCTACTGTGATAAATTAGGAGGTTTTTTCAAAGTTAGTATCAGTGCTCTTAGATTAGAATTACAGCTTCCAGGACTGACAGCTGTCCACAGAGACTTGAGAGGAAGATTGGACAAAGTGATTTTTCTCTTGTGTATCACTACAGTATAGTTACAATATAATACATTTTGCACTAAGAAATTGAATACATAAACACAAAAACAACAGAATAGCATGCATGAGCAGAGGGAACTTGAAATGATTCTATAAATGAGTCTGAATCAGTTCTCTACTTTAGTCTGAGGCTCCATTCATTACGAAGGTTGGAGGATGATCATTGGACCAGCACTCTTCATAGACGACAGCTGGCGCTGGCAGACTCTGCTCTGTCCTCCTCTCCTCCACACAACACTCATCTCTGATCTGAGTCAGTCTGAAGTTAAACAAACAGCAACTGTGGAGCTCAGAGGACAAGAATCAAGGAAACAAGATTTTACACGGTCACACACACAAACAACACACACACTCACCAACAGAGACACACCACACACACACACACATTGTCTTCTGTGTTTGCAACGTACCCAGAAGAACAACACTAATTGACTACTGTACTCAGTCAACTCAAGGAGTGAGGGATGATTAATGTAAAAGGTAAACACAGGGTATTTATTCTCACCAATTCAAAAAAAGTAGAATCACAGTTCAGATTCATAAGTCCACCAATATAATAAAAGAAATAAAAAGAACTGAAAGTAAAGTTCCTTTACAGCTATTCTGTCTGATTGATATCACAGGTCATGAGTCCAGTCCAAAGAGTTAGTTGTATCCCATGCTGTCCCATTATTCAATGTGTATTGTGCTCCGGGTAGAATGGGTTGTTTGTTGTATGTTTGCTGTGCGGCGCTTAACTATCTTGCTGCCATGCAGATTAAGTCCTTCAGGAAGATGATGAAGATGGAATTCCCAGATCCTCCAACCCTGCCTCGCTTCAGACAAGGAACCTGTGATCGACCTTCCAAGTATATCCAGCAAGCACTGCAATAACCAATCTGCCACAGCAGGAAATTCCAAAGACAATCTTATACTATCATCAATTTACTGTACCAAGTTATCAGTATCTCTTTGATACTTCAAAGGTGTAATTTACATACTGACACACAAGTGAGGAAACAACTATATCCTTGAACCTCTTTTAAAACCCCCAGACATCATTATGTTTTTTTCCTTCTTTTTAACAGTATTATAAATCATGGTTACAACAAATTGATTCCCTTCATCTCAATCATCATGTCTCTCATTCTTATTAGTTTTTTTAATCATTCAACATAAACTGTTAACACCAATTATTATATGCAGGAAAAACCCATATTATAAATCATGAGCATATTAGCCCCGCGTATACATATTTAACTCTCCAGCATCAACATGGCGCCCAAAATGGCGCACTAAAATACTCACTAAAATAAATGCATTGTTCTTAAAACACAAACCAGCAATTAACTAATTTCATGTCTCCATAAACATTACAGTTTGACTTCCAATTGTTTGTGATAAGAAATTGCTAACATCAACCCTGCAACGTAGCATGCTAATAGCCACAATCATAATAAAAAAAAAGAAAGCAAATCCTTCGTGCACAGCGGTCCTGGAACCTCTGAGCCAAAACTTTGTCAAGTACAGAACTCCAAAATAGCTGAGGTGTTTTGATCCACCATGAAAGCTCACGTCTACTGGATTTCTACGTATCACATAATGCGCACCTATAGCGCTATTTTTAGGCAATCTACTCATCTTGAAACCACAATTTCCTCATAATCAGAATTAAAAATGGAAAACTTATTAAACATTGAGCCAAACCAAACAAATAATAGTCAAGTTTAAACCCAAAGCTGTATATCATAGGGTAACACATACGTTATGTATGTCAAATGTATTTTCCTGTGTTGTGTTCCTGTGGAGCTGCTGTGGTTGAGAAGAAGATCATTCAGACTTTCATCGCCGGGACAACACACTTAAAAAGTTCTCCACCTCATCATCATCACCACCTATTCCAATACACCAACATTACTACATTCTCACCACATCGAATCTTTGATAAATGATTGATGCCAAAAGTCTTAAAGGAAGCTCTAAATAACACAAAACTGTTGCTACTGTGCGATAATTAGAGTTGAAATTCAGTATCAGCCTCTTATATAGATACAGGCTTTCGTAGGTTGACTGACAGCTGTCACAGAACTGATGAGGAAAAAGAACCGAGGTTTCTCTTTGTGGCAATACAGTTTAGGTAGTTAAGATATCATTTTTAGCAGAAAGTTGAATATATTAAACTGCAAAATGATCAACAGAAAGCATCATGTCGCAGAGGGATCTGAATAATGAAAAGTAAAGATGAGGTTATCGTATTTCCAATGTTCTCTACTTTGACCTGATGTGTCCCAGGTTCTTAACTGATCTTAAATTATTCTGCAGACCTTAATCCACTCGGATATACGAGAATTCACAGACAGCCTAGACGCTGCAGGGACTTCTGCTCTTGCCTCCTCCTCCTCCACACACCCAAACACTCAATCTTCTTTATCCTGAGATCAGTGGAGGTCTATGAAGAGGTTCAAAGGAGCTCAAGGAATAGAGGAACTCAGCAGCGGAAGAGAATCATGGAATACAAGATTCTATCTCAGATCATGATCAATCACATAAGACAACACAACACCACACACACACCAACACACACACACAAACACAACGAACCAACAACATCAACCAGGATCAAACACAGATTTACTCAGACACACCAAAGCAAGTAACCAAAGTCCAACCAATGAAAGACTTAAATGTGTTATTGAACGAACTCCATTACAGCAGCAAGCCATCCAGGTTCCTGGACCTCCCTGCCT